AGCCTCATGGGCAGTGTAGTCCGTGCTGCAGGGAGAATAGACTGCCATACCCGTTATGTGTCTGTGAGCGCTCCATCAAGCAGAAACGGGAGATGGAAGCATGTAAATATAATAATAACCACTGCAGCCAAGAAAAGTGCCTGACGAGCCCAGTTGTAAGTAAGCTATTAAGACTCGACTGTACACAGTGTTCGTGTTTTCCTCCGAAAAAATAAATTCCGTTGGAGCAGCCTTTCAACGCCTCTCTCTGTCTCTCGCTAGCAAACTTGACCCAGGCAACAAAGTAAAGCTATTTTTTCGGCTATGAGCCCGACACGGAACCCGACGTATTCGCCAGAGGTCCCTTTACTACGGTTCGGAGCCGCAGACCTTAAGTAATAGTAATAAATCACATTCATGTAGTTGTAAACAGCATGATAATATATTAAGTAATCCAAAGTATTCAGAATACGTTACTCTAATTGAGTAACGTAACGGAATACGTTACAAAATACATTTGGGGCATGTATTCTGTAATCTGTAGTGGAATACATTTTAAAAGTAACCTTCCCAAATTCAAATTCAAATTTTATTTGTCATGTACACAGTCATACGCACTAGGATATGCAGTGAATTGCTTAGACAACTGCTCGTGACCTAAAATAAAAGACTATGAATAGGATAGGAAATAAATATCTTATTCTACTGCAATTACGCAATCTGCATAATTGCAGTAAGTGCAGTAAGTGTTTTTGATGAAATTTTACTGCTTTTTCAGTAGAGCATCATACATAATGTTTCTCACAACTGTAATGAATTGTAGTGGCACAAACATTTCTAGAACTTTTTTTTGTGTGTCTCCTGATGGGCTGGATCCAGTTTATTTCTCTTATATGTATTTTCTCTCTATTAATGGGAGTTTTTTATTTGGAAACGGCAGTGCTTAGTGGCCAGCTTATTTTTGGCAGGAAGAGAACCTGGGTGTATATGGACTTGATGGAATGTCTGAGCATTTATGAATTATCATCACAACAACAGTAACTACCAATGATACCATGGCAATGATTGAAAATAACTTTAACTATGTATTATTTATATTTATTTATATATCTAGCTAGCTTGAAAGAAGCTCAACTGTCCTGAATCCCTTCCTACATTTGAAATTGTAAATCTGATCTAAATTCCCAACTCCCGGTACAGCCGAAAATCATGCTTTTGTTTTGAAGGGAATTAGACGGAAGTTGTTTGCTGTGTTTGGATGTTTAACTTGACTTTAGCTAGTTGGAGCGAGCCTATGCTTGACACCACACCATACGCATACACAGTGTCGCGGCCTCTCCCCGAGCTTGTTCCGAGATTACGCCGCTTTCATCGGTTAGACAAACTAACGAATCGCCGGTGAAAGACTGACTCTCCCCCCGCCCTGCGCTGTGTGTGACGCTGGTTAGCTCCGGTACAAGCTGGGAATGTGTTTTATTTAACAATTACATGACGACTTGTTC